CACACACACACACACACACACACACACACACACACACACACACACACACACACACACACACACACACACACACACACACACACTGAGAGACACACGCACGCACACACACATTGAGAGACACACGCACACACACACACACATTGAGAGATACACGCACACAGTCACACACGCACAGTCACACACAGTCACACACAGTCACACACACACACACACACACACACACACACTGAGAGACACACGCACGCACACACACACATTGAGAGACACACGCACACACACACACACACATTGAGAGATACACGCACACAGTCACACGCACACACGCACAGTCACACACACACAGTCACACACACACACACACACACACACACACACACACACACACACACACACTTGAGAGACACACGCACGCACACACACATTGAGAGACACACGCACACACACACACACACATTGAGAGATACACGCACACAGTCACACGCACACAGTCACACACGCACAGTCACACACAGTCACACACACACACACACACTGAGAGACACACGCACACACACACACACACACATTGAGAGACACACGCACACACACATACACATTGAGAGATACACGCACACAGTCACACGCACACAGTCACACACGCACAGTCACACACACACAGTCACACACACACACACACACACACACACACACACACATTGAGAGACACACGCACACACACACACACACATTGAGAGATACACGCACACAGTCACACGCACACAGTCACACACACACAGTCACACACAGTCACACACACACACACACACACACACACACACACACACACACACACACACACACACAGTGGAAGTGCACTCATCATACTTGTCATCTCATTGACAGGAAGATAACCACAAACCAGTTCCTTGTTGCTGCATGATACAAACTGAAAAGGTAACACACCCACACACACACAATGTGGGGTGTATCTCTTTGTATCTATTCACTACAACAGCACCACAACTGACTATAGTAAAGCTATGTCCTTTAAATTATCTGCACTGTAGACAGTGATGCTGAAAAGTAACAAGAAGCACAAGAGACAGCGAGTGTGTGCACGAGTAATGAGAACACAGCCTGTCTATGTGTGTGTGTGTATGTGTGTGACTGAGCATGCTATGAGAGGCCGTCTAGCTCACAACTCATACTTGGTCTTACAAACAATATCAGAATCTCACACATACACCATTAAACTCTTGTATACATATTGCTAAACACTTTTACACGCACAATCATACTCTCTTTCACACACTTTTGTCTGGGCCATAAATCAAACTTACTTACATACCAAACTGTACTTTCTTAGAAACACTATTATTCCCACTTACAGACAACATCATACTACAATATAATACTCTAGTAGTGTATGCAAGACAGGAAACGTTGTGTGTGAGAAAGAATGATAGTGTATGTGAGAGAGGGATTGTAGTATGTATGAGGGTATAGTAGTGTGTGTGAGAGAGAATGATAGTGTATGTGAGAGAGGGATTGTAGTATGTATGAGGGTATAGTAGTGTGTGTGAGAGAGAATGATAGTGTATGTGAGAGAGGGATTGTAGTATGCATGAGGGTATAGTAGTGTGTGTGTGAGAGAATGATAGTGTATGTGAGAGAGGAATTGTAGTATGCATGAGGGTATAGTAGTGTGTGTGAGAGAGAATGATAGTGTATGTGAGAGAGGGATTGTAGTATGCATGAGGGTATAGTAGTGTGTGTGAGAGAGAATGATAGTGTATGTGTGTGAGAGGACATTGTACTGGGTGTGAGAGAGTATACTTTAAAAGGAAGTCAGGTTGATCCAACAGGAAGCCATTTTAAATATTCATTCCTTGACTGGTTTACAGCTTTGAAAACGAAGCCTGAAGCTGCTCAGAGCTCTGCTCGCTAAATTTGAGCTGCAATAAGAACTTTTAAGATTGTTTTATAGGTCTGAACAGTATGAAGAAAGCCATGATATTTCTTTTTATGTACCTTCTTCTTCAGGGACAGTTTATTTTCGTGGAGGTTAATGAGGAAGACATTACTACTTTTTTCACTCTAACGGTGCGGTGTGCTCAGAACATTATGAGGGAAAGTGACAGCATGGGACCTGACAGCATGGTTTTGGACAGATTATTCAGTGAACTTGCTGGATACCAACGGACATTTTTTACTTTTCTATCAATTAGCCAGGAGTTTGCAGGGACTGATAGTCAAGAAACTTCAGTCGTCCTTGCGGCCCTGTATGTATGTATTTGTGTAATTACCAACACATATGAAGGCTCAAGATCATTGCATGAAAGACAAATTACTAGCCTTAACTCAAGGGTACCTCCAACAACAAGAACTGGCCATCCTGGTCCCCCTCAGTACAATATACAACGTGAGCAAATTATGCACTGTTTATCACTTGGAATGAGTTGGCAAAGAACTGCACTCTGCTTAGGAATCAACAGGAGCACACTGTACAGACACAGACAGCGGCTTGAAATTAGACCACTGACCTATGCAGGAATGTCTGATGAGGTTCTGGCAAACACTGTTCGCGAGATCCTTCAAACTACCCCTAATGCAGGGGAAAGGTATGTTTTAGGGAGTCTTCGTTCACGGCACATCAGAATACAACGTTGGCGTGTGAGACGCTGCCTGCAACAACTTGACCCGGTTGGACGGGCTTTTCGCCGCCGCCGTGCAATTCGTCGAAGAGTTTACAATGTTCAAACTCCCAATCAATTATGGTGAGTATTGCATGACATTAAATTAAGTTATGTGCCATGAATGCACAAGTAATATAGTAGATATTGCTAGTGGTAGAAAGTAACACATGACATTATTGCAAGTAGGCCTAAAATGCAAGTAAAACTTTAAAATACACTTATTATTTTTTGCTAGTCTTCCTCCACTGGAACTTTATTTTACGTTAAAAATATAAATACTTATATAGTCAATAAAGGATGTCCTTTATCATGTGTTTTTGTCTTAAACAACACAAACTGAGTTCATGCTGTGAAATAAAAAAGGTGACTAGTCCTTACTTCTAGAAGGGCAACCATGTGATGGACATTCTGGTTCTGTATTAACAATATTCATCATGGTTGCAATTTTATTTGTGTAAATATTGAAGTTTTTTCTCTCTACAGGCATATAGACGGAAACCATAAACTGGTGAGATGGCGGATGGTGTTTCATGGATGTGTTGACGGCTTTAGTCGCACCATCATTTATTTGCAATGCCTCAATAACAACAGGGCATCAAGTGTTCTGGGACTGTTTTGTACTGGTGTACACAACTTTGGCCTTCCCTCAAGAGTACGCTGTGACCATGGCATGGAAAACACAGGGGTTGCCAGGTATATGCTAGAGAGAAGGGGATTAAACAGAGGCAGTGTCATTACGGGACGCAGTGTCCATAACCAGAGGATAGAACGGCTGTGGGCAGAGCTTAACAGAGTTGTCTCGTTCCACTTTAGTAACCTTTTTACCTTCATGGAAAATGAGGGCATATTGGATTCTACGAATGACCTCCATTTGTTTTGTCTTCACTACATCTACCTGCCAAGAGTTCAAAGGTCAGCTGCTGAATTCCAAAATCAGTGGAACCACCATGGATTATCTACAATGGGTGGACAAACTCCTCTCCAACTGTGGCAGAGAGGAGTTCTAAACAGTGCTGGAGCTGGAAACTTGGCAATTGATGACATTTTTGAAGGAAATGAGACAGTTGGAGTCAATGAACACATCCCCTTACCATTAGTGACAGACAACAACATTGTGGTTCCGGTAAATGACTTTAATGTTAATCAAACCATGATGAACAGAATTGAAGAACTATTTGACCCTTTGAGTGATGATGGTAATCACGGCATATCATTTTTTTTAGTTCTGGTGAATGTTCTTAGTGAACAGTAAACACTGGAAATGGTTCACACTTAAAGTAACAAAACAAGCACTGTTTGTTTTTTAAACAGACTGAAAGTAAGTTATATATTTATGTGATTTGTTGCACCACTGGGCCATAATACCTTAATGATGTGCCCAGTTACTCAGTCAGCACTAATAAAGCAATGTACAATGGTTGATAAATAATAAAAGTGACTTTTAAAGAATAATGTTTTTTTGCACTTCGCTAAAATTAAAAACAAAAATTGTTGTTCACATTGCTTCAAGAACCTGGCTGAAACCTCATGAACGAGGTAGATGGAACGAACATAATGTTCCCATTACTCTCTTCCAAAACCCTGTGTGTTACCTAGTGCAAAGTCCATGCACTCTTTAAAATCATCATAAGTCTCAAGCAGCGGCAACTTCAGGCAGTTTATGCAAGTGTTCGCCATGGGCAGACGCTGTTTGGGGCTGGAGGGATGCCCATGCAGGAAATCAATTGATGGCTGAGGAGAGAAGCCAACTGGAGGGATGACACTTGCACCTGTTGCAAAGGCAAGGATTTTCCCTAACTTTGGTGGTCCCTCTTGATCTAAAACACAGTAAAGCAAGCAAAACAATAATTACAATTTTAAACCATACCAGCAAGTACAAAATACCATACAGAAAAAAATCTATTAGTAAAGAATGAAAGACAAAGAAACCAAACATGTGACAAGTAAGAGGATATTTTAAGACAGAAAGAAAGGAAGAAAAAGGAAATAGAATCAAAGCAAGATTAAGGAAAAAGGCAGACAATGAAAAGAGTAATGTCAATGTGGCATTAGTATGTAATGTTGTAGCAAGTCTTTGCACACTAAGTGATCAACATCATTGGAGACAGTACTACATCTAGCAGCAGTATTAACCTTCCACATCCTGCAGGTAATCCCTCCAAAAGGGTACCACAACTTCCTCTGTCCTTCTTTTGTTGCTTCCCACTTCAGACAGCAGGATATGGAATAGATGGTCCATTACGTCAGCAGTGAGAGCCGATGGTTCGTGGCACATCAAAGGCCGGAAACTTTCTGGATGCATTTTAATTGCATCTAGAACGCCAAGGACCTTTAGCCCCTCCTTAAATCTACAGTATACAAATGAGGGTCAAGAGAAGAATTTGTGTGAACAATTGTGCTAATAGTAAAGAACTAAAGAGATATATTCCATCACCATTGCAGAAAAATAGCTCGAAAATAAAAAATGTCCATCAGAGATCAGTATGAAATCTAAGAGGGCAAAAACAAAATTTGATGTTTGTGACAATCTTTAATTAATATGCTCAGACTTGCCAAACAATTGGGAAAATTAATTAATGTAATTTGTTCAAAAAGACATACTTCAGAGCTTCATTTACAGGGAGTAATATGTTTCTGACCACATGAACTGATTTGATTGTGTTTATTTTATTCTTACACAGCCCTATTTTATAAGGAACAATCTCTTTTCAATAAAAATATACACGTTCAAACATTTTTCTTCTTGTATCTTTGTTTGAAAAAAAGGTTTAAAATATAGTCAGCTTTAGCTTTTTTGTTAGCACCTAAATTATATCACTAATTTGGTTTATAGGCAATAGTGTTGCACAAACCTTTCAAATGCTCCTGCAACTCTGTGGACCACCTGGAACATGGTAATGTCTTGGACCAACAGGTCTCTGTCTTCTATGGATTTCAAAGGCCTGAGACACCCTGCATTTGCAAGAAAATCTTGGAGTGGTTCTGTGGTGTGTAAGAGGTCATTCAAAGAAGAACATTCTGACACCTACAAACAAAACAAAAAAGAAAGTTTGAGATGAGCTGCTGCTTGCATCGAAAGTAGACGAGTGTAGCCGAGTGCAGTCGGGGGAGGAACCACAAAGCATGGGTCAAGTCAAACAGCTTAGGGTTGGCTCGACTCCACTGCAACGGCAGAAGAAGCGCCTTTACTGCGGATTAAGTTGTTATCAACAGCAAATACTACAAAAGAGGCATGAATCTAAGAAATCAGATTCACCACAAATATCTTGCCGTTTTACCAGAGCAGTAAATATTTTCTGTTGGTGACACAATGATCCTAAACCTGTACTTTTCATTAAAAATAGTTTAGTAATAGTTTAAAATCATGTATATAGAAGGCAGACCAATTATTTCTTTCAGGAGTTTAGACTGGTGTAAGATATGGAAGACATCAAAAGAAATTAAATTGTTAATATCAGAAATCCTCTTATTAAGTACATCTTGTACTGCTAACGTGGATTTACATAAAGATTGCAGCATAATGCTGAAAAATTATAACAAAAGTAACGTAATTATTCCGCAGCCAATTGCAGACTTTGAGATGAGCTAGAATGGCACAGTTACGACCAATGAGCCTATAGCATTTGCAGGGGATTTTGAGGCAGACAGGGTCTGTGTGACATATCTGCTTCGCTAAAAAATAGTGGTTTAAATTCTGAACACATTTGACTGGCTGATTATAACTCAGTGCTATATCCATTTATGTTAGACACCCAAGATTACTGAGGAAAATTTATTTTGACATCATGGCATACTTTTTAACTTATTTACTAAACTATATAAGTGACCAAATAAATTGCTTCAGTAAACAAATATTGTTTCTATTATTATTTTCATTTTTGTGGTCAAGCTGTGGCATTCATATCGAATGAAAATATAGTCAAGATTTGCATATTCCAATATATTTACAATGCATTTACCTTTTTAACCTTTTCATAAAGGTCAGCGTCAACAATGTCCTCCAAGTCAGGCTTAATTGAGGAGTGCCCACCAACAAGACACGAATACAGTGTTGGTGCAAGGAATCCTGGTGGAGGACCCCCATGAACAAGGCTAACAGCAATGGCCTGTCCAGCAATGAAATACCGATCTTCTCTTAAAGCTGGAGAAAAATTTGATTTATGAAAAAACACAGTATTAAAAGAATGGGAAAGATATTTGACTAAAGGGCTGTGATCATAAGGAGTCCCAATAAATTAATACACATCGGCCAAATATATCACACTTACCAGCACTGTGTAGAGCCAAATTCAATTTGCTGTCCCTTCCTTCAAACATTGGTGACCGTGCCAATGCTTCCATAAGGAGTCTTAAAAACTCTCTCCTTGGGCCACCAAGGTCCACAGCCTCTTCATCTATTCCCAAGTCATCGGAAAACTTGACGGACATCTGGGATGCAGGATTGTAGGAAACTCGTTTGAAGCCACGAACAGCACCATCCAGAACTGCTGACCTATTTATGTTAAACCTGCATCTTTGGTTTGTGTCAATTTTGGATGCAAGATCGAGGAGCACTTCCTGTGAAGACTTGGTGTTTGCGATTTCCCTGTAGAAAGAAAAAAATGTTTTAGGATAGGGATAAGAGCATACCTTTCAACAACAAAACCCCCATTGCAAACCTAAAGGATTTTACAAGTGGAAAATGGCTAGTGGCTGATGTGCCTATATGAAGTCAATATTGTAAAAAGTCCTATCAGATTCACTTCATGCTCACCCTGTTCCTGTTTATCTTTAATTACTGCACTATTTTTATCACCCACTCACTTACATATTACTCTGAAGACTGGCCATAATCGCTTGGTTTAACTCCTCATCATCAGATGAATGGTCAGAGATGGAACCCATGATCGAGAGGTAGGTAGTATAGTCATCAACTGCACTGCGCTGGGTCTCTCTGGCCATGCTGCCACTGGATTCAAGCTCAACCGCACTGCGCTGGGTCTCTCTGGCCATGCTGCCACTGGATTCAAGCTCAACTGCACTGCGCTGGGTCTCTCTGGCCATGCTGCCACTGGATTCAAGCTCAACTGCACTGCGCTGGGTCTCTCTGGCCATGCTGCCACTGGATTCAAGCTCAACTGCACTGCGCTGGGTCTCTCTGGCCATGCTGCCACTGGATTCAAGCTCAACTGCACTGCGCTGGGTCTCTGTGGTTATTCTTCCACTTGAAGATTGCTGCTCTGCCCCGGCTCGGTTTGCTCTGCCACTTCTTGTGAAAGGATAACTAGAAACCAGTGGTGTTGATGCAATTTGGTTTCCTCTAGCCCTTGTCACACAGTCAGGGGTAGCCTGAGTGGAAATGTGCTGTTCACTGGATGTGGATTGTGTGTCTGCCATCATACCATCCTCTGAATCTGAGCTGTCCAACTAAAACAAAACATACAAACAAAAATGTGAACAAATAATTAAAAAACATAATATAAGGGGTTAAGTTCATTGGGAAAACAAGAAACCTCTGTGCTACAAACAAATTACAAAAAAATAAGTATCGCTTCATATCGTTTGAAATTGGTTACCGTATTTTGAAGCATGCTTGATGGCCTGATGTACACTGCCTTTGACTTAAACACTTTGTGAATTAGAAAGCCATTCAGTTCCTGTCCCTCACGCAGCTTTGGTGAAACAAGTTTGTTTCCACATGGCATCAAAAGTTCAATACTGAAAAAAAAGAGCAAAATACAAATACATAAAATTATTCTGAAGCAATCAACTCATGAACAATACCAGACATAGCCTAAATATTCAGACAATACCTGACTCCCTCTGGAATGTTGTCCTTGAATGCTTCCCTTAGCTCAGCAATGACTGTCCTGCAGTCCCAGATTTTCTTCATCTCGAAGGCATTTAAAATAAAGCCTTTTTGATGAAGCCTTCTCTTTGTTTTGTGCTTACAAACTGCATCCCATTCTGGATGAGGTAACAGAATTACATCCTTGGTGAAGGTGGGGTGATTTTGGACAGTGCCAGTGGTCCTAAAAAAGAAAGCAACATTATTGTTAGATAGATAGATTAGATAGAATAGATAGATACACTGTAGATCCTGAGGGAAATGTTGACATCCAGTAGCAATATACATGCAAACTAAACAACAAAAACAACAACCCCCCCCCCCCAATAAAAACACTTGCAATATTAGATTAAACAAAATACTAAAAGAGAACTGAGAAACTGAAAATTAAATTAAATCTGTAACAATTAAGTAAAAACTGTATTGTACTGTACCCAAGGTTATCCCCGATGTTGTTGCGGGAGCTGAATTACTGGGTAACATTACACTGGACACGCGTGATGCTCGCGACGCATTGGCGAACACAGAGGACATGGCAGGCGTTTGTTGTTTATTCCTTACCTGGGTCTTATGTTTCGCTGACTGCGTGTGTGATTCCAAAAGCCTTTACACACTAGCATAAGGTGCAGCGGGCTTCTAACACGTTCCCCTTCACTAGTTTCAACCAAGCACTAAATGCCCCTTTCTCCAACCATATTCGGTTAAACTTACACTTCCCCATAATGTTCGTAAAAAGATGTGAAGATACCTCCGGCTCTGAACTGACGCTAGCTAACGCTTGGTTGCTAGTTACTAGCTGGGTGTTCTCCAATAAGGGGCCAGGGGATGCAAAGTTATTGCAGCAAGTTATTGGTTCCATGTTGATTTATTTCCATATAAATAATTTGGGGGGGGAACTGCAACACAGAAGTACCTTCCAAATCCGTTTAAAGACCTATTAAATCATATTGAAGACCTTTCTTGATTTTTAAAATCATATTTAAGGGCTTAAATTCTGATTATTAAATGTAAGGCTTTTTAAGACCCCGCGGGAACCCTGTGATTAGTCTCGTTTCTAACATTTGACTGCCCCGCTATAGTAGGTTAATAAAGCGTTAGCTTCAAGCAGTAAGAAACGGCTTCAATCAACAACATACATATTAAAATGACCACGGTTGACATTTAAAAAATAAACGTACCTCTTCCTTGACTTTGAAGTCCATCCCCCAAAATACTGCTGAGTTTGATATCGGGGTTGCAGCACTTGGTTCAGGTTGGCGCCTAATGAGGCTCCACCGCCACTCCCTGATGCACCTGATCCACGTCTGAAGGCCCGCTGCAATTCCTCGTCAACGCTCGCACTAGAATTGCCTACTGTGGACGACGTCGACTGTCGCCTTTGATCCATCATTCCTGACAGCGATGTGACAACATTTGGAGAAGGCCTATCTAAAATATTAGTTAAGAGGCCTATGGCTTCATTAAGTCGCTCCCTTTCCACCATTTTCTCATCTCACAATGGCGCTATGTGGGGGTGGGCGGTGTCCGTCAAACAAAAAACGTACAGCCAATCAGGAACTGAGAATTTAGTCCAACTTCCTTTTCAATCATACTCACTTCCTTTTCAATCATACTCTCTCACACACATAACTATTCTTATGCACACACCCTATCATTCTGTTTATACACATACCTATATAGTCATTCACATGAACTATTATTACCTCTTATATAAGCTATTATTCGGCCTTTCATTCACTGCTATTCCGTTTTACATAGACAACTATTGTTATTAACATGAAATACTATTCCCTCTTACATAGGTTATTATTCTGTCTTACATACATTGTTTACCGATTACACTCTTTCACATACACTATTATAATGTTCTATTAGATTATAGTTGTATGTGAAAGACAATAGTGGTGTGTGTACGAGAGTATGATGGTGCGTTTAAGAGATTTTGTTTTTGTGTGTGAGAGAGAATAGTTATTTATGTATGATAGTATGATAGTAAATGAAGGAAGGAATGACAGTACGTTAAAGACGGTATGATACTGTGTGTGAAAGAGTCTGGTGGTGTACATGAGAGATTCTGATATTGTTTGTAAGACCAAGTATGAGTTGTGAGCTAGACGGCCTCTCATAGCATGCTGTGTGTGTTCACAAACTAACAATATGCAAAAACATGGGGTAATGACGAGGGGAAACACAAGAGCAGTATTTGAATTGCAGGGGACTAAATACAGGAAGTTGCAGCTAAAAGAAATGGGAATTATTATGTCCGTAAAAACCGGCATGCAGTGGAAGATGTGACAACCTCAAACAGTTCATTGTCATTAAAGTTTAAACATACACGGTAAAGGTCATGTTTGGTGTCCCAGTAATACATTTTCGCTTGACCTAAGATTTTGCACCTGCATTGAACTGTCAATCAGAAAGAAATCCATCAGAGTACGAGGAACCAATTTATACCCCAACAATCTGCTCAGTAGACCAGAATGCAATGCAGGGGAAAGAGTTGTAATCAAAAAAATGTCCTGACTGGAAAGACTTATGCTCATACTTTGCAATTGCTCTGTCTGCACCCACATTTTTATCCCACAGTTCACACGCCACACGTTCCTGCCTGCTCTGTGAAAAAGCATTTGAAGAAATCTAGAGAATGACTTCCTGCTGTACAAATACACAAGATAGGTGGGTAGATGAGGCTTCACTAAAAACCGAAAATAATAACCCACACTCACAAATGAAGTCATCGCATCACTGATGGTGTAGCAGCGTGTCTGCACACTGAATCTTTTTTAAATAATGAGCCAGCGTCTGACTGTTCAGACAGAGATGAAGCCTGTTTTAAAGGAAGGGGATTTGATGAAGTGAGATCTACCCCCCCGAGCTATTTTCTTTCAAATGCTTGGAATTACAAGACGTCCTGCATTGTGTAACTGCAGCATGTTGGCGGGCTTATAAACAGCGGTGTTAAAAAGTCCTTTGATCTTTTAGTAGCATGACCACGTTTTAAGAATACTCTGTTACGAGTATAAGTCCTGCATTCAAAATGATGCTATTGTAAAAGTACAAAAGTATAAGCATTAAAGAGGCCTTGTTATGCTTTAGGGGGTTTTCCCTTTACTGTAGTGCATTATGGGTTTTTGTGCATGTACAGTAAATGGTCTGCAAGTTCCTTCCACAGTTCCTCCAATGCCTGAAACGCCTGATTGGACTCCTTCTGTAACATAATGACATCATTATATAACAGTTGCGCTTCTCTTGGCTAGCCCTCTAATACATTGTACGTGATAAGTGAAGGGGCGGGACATCACTAAGCGGGTTGGCCAATCACAACAGGCCAGCTAACCAATCAGTATGAGAAAAATAAAGACATTTTTGAACAGTAAAGGCACAAAATACAAATATGAACCTGAACATTTGCATAATGTCCCCTTTAAATTGAGATTTGAATGTAAAGCAATATACTGAAAAGCAGATAAGCTCAAAAGCGGGGATGAATTGACAGAAAACAAACTCATGTTTTCTTGCTCACGTTACACTCTTGATAAGAAGTGACTTCCTCTATGAAAGATGTATTTGCTCTCTCTTCGTGATAGCAAGCAACAGTGACCGCGTTCATCTTTGCCAATAAAGCTCGGTGAATTTGAATGTGATGAGAGTGGGTTGAGATTGGCACGGGAGCAGGGACACCGTGCCCAGTGTGTTCGGGCACGGCCAGCTGTGCCAGCCTCCGAGTCCCACCACGGCCGAGAGCCAGCTTGTGTGTGTGTGTGTGTGTGTGTGTGTGTGTGTGTGTGTGTGTGTGTGTGTGTGTGTGTGTGTGTGTGTGTGTGTGTGTGTGTGTGTGTGTGTGTGTGTGTGTGTGTGTTTGTGTGATAACCCACTCCTCTACTCACTCTAATTGCTCTCAACAAAATTCTCTGCCATCTCTCTTAGCTCATGCTTGATTTCTATTCCTAGCGTCTCCCTCTGGGTAGTTATTGTAGTATTTGCTGGTTTGAATCCATGGAAGTAGTTTAGGAGACAACAGCAGAGGACTGGTGAGTGTGTGCCATGAAGGGAACATGCCCAGTTAACTTTGGTTTTGTGGCGACAGAAAGAGGTATGGTACAGTATGACTTTTACACTTGCTATGACTGTGGTATATTATAATAATAATAGTGATTCAGAAATAAATGCATGGGCAAGTTGCCGGCCTAGATAAATAAAAAACTGCTTTAAATGTATTTCATATTGTGTTGCACTGCCTACTTATTTTTGTAATAATTGGGTGGTTTTAGACGCAATTTTAAAAACATTACCTTAGGCTTTACAAAAGGGGGATCATTTGTTCACACTTTTCCTACCTTTTAAGAACCAGATGATTGAACAAGAGTGATTGTACCCATTTTTATGTTACAGTGCCTCACAATTTTGTCCCTGCATGTGCCTCGCTGCACAATGCCCCCATTTACTTTCACGAGTGTGTACATATCACACACACACACACACACACACACACACACACACACACACACACACACACACACACACACAACACACACACACACACACACACACACACACACACACACACACACACACACACACACACACACACACGCACACGCACACACACACCTGGAGCTTATCTCTGTCCCCCCTAATTGTCCTGCCCCCCCCCCTCTGTGAACAGTTTAAGGTAAATATTAGTAGCCGATGACGCACTAATAGCCCTCTGATTTGGCTTGCAGAGACATTCAATGAAAACAGCCTTTCCTGCTTCCTCTCTTTCAACCCACCCCCCCTCCTCCTCCTCTCTTTCCTCTCAGTCTCTCCATCCAATCAGCTTCTTTCTTTATTCTGCTGGCTCACTTTTCCTCTCTCTCTCTCTCTCTCTCTCTCTCTCTCTCTCTCTCTCTCTCTCTCTCTCTCTCTGTCTGTCCTCTTGCTCTGTTTTCCCTCAATGCATTTGGCCTTGCTCTTCTGCTCTCCCTCTCTGCCCTCCTTCTTATTCTCTCTCATTTCTTCCTCCTTGCTCTATCTCTCTGCCCTGCTTCTCTCTCAGAGTATCCCCCCTACCCTCCTTCCCCCCTACCCTCCTTCCCTCCCATCTCTTTTCTTTTCTTGCTCAGTCTTGTGTCCCTCCCTCCGCCCTCTCTTTCTATCCTCTGGGCAGCGAGCCAGCACCTCTTCCCTGGCACTGAGCCAACTCCTCTCCTCCTCTTCCTCTTCTTCCTCCTCCTCCTCCTCCTCCTCCCTACTTCCCTCTGTCCCCCTTGCCTCTGATTGATGGCCCCTCTATTCTGGAAGGAGAGGAAGAGAAACAGAGAAAGAGAGGGAGTGGGAGTGGGAGAGGGGAGCAGCAATGCACACACAACCACCCAAAAAAAAAACGAAAAGGCACACACGTGCACAACACACACAAGCCACCACAAACAGTTGTAGACACACACACACACACACACACACACACACACACACACACACACACACACACACACACACACACACACACACACACACACACACACACACACACACACACACACACACACACACACACACACACACACACACACACACACACACACACACACACACACACACACACACACACACACACAGCAACAAGGGCACACAAAAGCAATCCAAACAGAGCAGAGAGCACACACACAGAGAGCTGTGTGCAGAGCAAGCAGAGCCTCCCAGCAGGAGACCAACAGGCACACACTCGCTTCCTGCGACACATCACACACACAGACACACTTCCTCAGACACATTGTACACACACACACACACACACACACACACGAAGATTCAACTTTCAGTGCAGTAACAATACAAGATAGGCAGGGCACCAAGCAGCAGAAACATTTAGAATAAAAAATACAGCTCACTTTGATTCACACACACACACACACACACACACACACACACACACACACACACACACACACACACACACACACACACACACACACACACACACACACACACACACACACACACACACACACACACACACACAGGCAAACACACACACAGGCAAACACACACACAGGCAAACACACACACACACAGCAACAAGGGCACACAAAAGCAATCCAAAGAGAGCAGAGAGCACACACACGGAGAGCTGTGTGCAGAGCAAGCAGAGCCTCCCAGCAGGAGACCAACAGGCACACACTCACTTCCTGCGACACATCACACACACACTTCCTCAGACACATTGTACACACACACACACTCACTCACACACACACACACACACACACACACACACACACACACACACACACACACACACACACACACACACACACACACACACACACACACACACACACACACACACACACACACACACACACACACACACACACACAGATTCAACTTTCAGTGCAGTAACAATACAAGATAGGCAGCGCACCAAGCAGCGGAAACATTTAGAATAAAAAAGACAGCTCACTTTGATTCACACACACACACACACACACACACACACACACACACACACACACACAC